TTGCAAGTGGCTCCGGTCCACTTCCCGGAGCAGAGGTATTCGATGCAGAAGTTGTAGGTGCTATGAAAGCCTTGAAGGCTGCAATAGAGGTAGGAAAAGACTTACTGATCTGAATTCTTCTGGACAACCAAGCGGCCACCCAGGCGCTCGAAAGAGGAAGAACTAACTCCTCGCAGTCGGTGGTGGACAAGTTTTCATCGCTGAGACACAATAAGCGTGTGGAAATACGCTGGATACCCGGGCATGTGGGGATTCAAGGCAATGAAGAGGCCGATAAGCTGGCCAAATCAGCCTTGGGAGCTTCCAATAACCGGTCATTAACCTCAGCTGCGCCCATTCTAGAAGATCAAGATCTAAAATTTGCGGCATTAGGGAGGTGGGTTAAACAGCGTAGCCAATAGCTCGTGGAAGAGTGGTGGCAGAAGTATCGACCGAAACGATACAAAGATCTGGACCTATTCATGCGTTGCAAAAGACCACCGGAACTAGCTTAACCAAGATGGGCGTACCATCGTCTTATTGCGGCAAGAACAGGCCACGGGGACTATGCCAACTACCATCAACGTTTCAACCCCGAACATGAAGATCTGAAATGCATTTGTGGCCGAGAGAAAAGGCCCTGGCATTTTTCAGAGTGCCGACCTGCTTTGCTACGTTGGAGAATCTATGAGAAAATGGCCCCACCTGGGGCCAGGGAAATGATAGGGGAGAAGGGATAGCAGAAGTTCATTCAATTCTTAACTACAAGCCGATGTTACAGTCTGCCGAAGAATGAACAGGGTGGGAGGTGACCACGCTGAGATTGTTTCTGACTCGAGAGTAGATGGGTGTGGAAGATAGGGATGCGGCGCAGGGCACCGTAACTCAGACATATGCTGTTCTTTTTTTTTTCTTTTCTTTTGTCGCTTTTGGCTCCACTGCCGGTCATGTAGGTAGCAATGAGCTTTCAGAGCCCATCTACTCGTGTCACGTCTAAATAGATGTTAGGTTCTTCCTGTCACGTAAAAGATTTCAAATTCATATCAATACAATTTTCATGCTTTTATACTATAACAATTACTACTGGAAGGGGTCGTGGAGGCATAGATACTCCCGGCCTGTAGGCAGAAAGGACCTACATGTCCTTACATAGTCAAAGACTTCATATGACAATAAACAAACACACATACTTTCGTTCCAAGAATATTGCGTCCATCTCATTCCGCGATATTTCCAACAATTTCCGAATTAATTCCAGAGTAAATGTGTTAATTCCAATAGCTGCACCCAACCCGTACTTACAGCACCGATTATTTGTCATAGCAAGAGCGCTGATTACATACTTGACGATTAAAAGACTTCAGTTGAACTCGTGCTAATTAATCGCCCAATAGATTGAGCTGGGGATCCACAATGCCAGCGTCATCGTCTATCTCAAAGGGCCGCTGCACATCAGGGCGGAACAGGCTAGCCGCGATGAGGTATATGAGTCTCGCCGTGAATGAATGACTTGATGCATAATTTACTCTAGGCGAGCGTTGAAGATCCACCAACACTTGAATCAAGGAAAGCTAAAAGCCCGGAATCTCTTTGAACAGGCCGGTGGCTAAATCTTACATTACGCACTCAAGCTTCATCTAGAGTATATATTGCCATCGAGCCATCCATGGCCGAGCTAAAGGCTCTTTTATTCTGTGGGTCGGTCATTCCCATGCACCGCCCCCATGCTGACAGATCTCAGTCACGCTGTGAGTTCATGTGTAGGGGTTGCGAAGTGGCTTATGGTGAATTGGAACTCAAAGCACGCCTGTAATAAGTATCACGGGAGGCCTGTGGAGTTCGTTAAGTCAGATGTAAGTTGTTCGTTCATAATCCTAACAGGAAGCTCCTAATGTTACAAGCAAGCTAATACATGTTTACATAATAAGTCCCCACTAATCTTCTCAACGTAATATCCCGTGACCTGGACACACAACGCTCTGCGGCTAGGTCGCGTCGGACCTGCGAATGTTGTCCCCGGAGCTGCATCTACGCGCCAGCTTCCGCCGTCATCGCGGATGCGTACATGACAGAGAGATCTGCACCGCTCTATCACTTTAACCAAATGCGAGTGCTCGGGCCCGACTAGCTGCCCATCGCTTTTTAAACGACTAGGAGGCTGTGATGGGCATTTGCCCTAGCTCATACCCCTGCTACCCAGATTCGCCTGTCCTGGCCCTAGGGAGGACACAGATGCGTAGTCTTATTCCCGCCCATCTTATCGCGAGAACCCATGACTAGGGTGTGCCGGTGGATGGGACATCATCGGGGACGCCGCCAGGATGCATTCTTTGACCATCCCTACAAGATCCAACCTTCGACTGAGCAGGGATTTGAGTGGAACTCTCTTTTTAAGCTGTATAGCTGCGGGGCTTAAGTCGCTTGAAGGCTCAGGACCTGTCAGTGGTATTCCCTACAAACCTCCAGGGTCAGGATCGACTCTAACACTAGCCAGAATTGCCTCTACTTTTAATTAGACTTCCATCCCCTTTTGTCTGGCGTTGGCGCACAGCCATGGCATTAGTCAAACACATAACAAACAAGGTCACTAGCAAGGAGGGCGAGACTGAACACCTGTACGTGGTGTCCTCTACGAACCTTGGAGTGAAACATTCTCCCAGAGCCAAGTTCAGTCAAATTTCGCAATATCAAAGAAGTTGGCCCACGAGGCATTGAATCAAATTACTCCACCACGTCGTTTTTTCACTCCCAACGAGTTTGACTCCTACCTGAGTCTCATCAAGTATAGGTACGACCAAGTACATCCTCATTCCAATAACCATACCTCTCGCCGACCCTCTCTGGCCTCAGCTGGTCGCGAAATACACGCCCACGCCGATATTAACATCCTGCGGAAGTAAAGCGTGGCGCACAAATCAGGAAGATAGTTCTTTGGGATGGACATGAGAGGGATGAGGACAAGTCCTCAAGATGATGCAATGGAAGGATATAACCTCTAAGGGCGTGAAATTTGGAAATTTGGCAAGGAGTTTTACGAATTGAGCTTTGTGCGCGCCGAGTCTTCGGTTGCGGGGGAGTGTTGACGATACTATAAATACAAGTCAATGATGGAAGGTGTTGTGGTCCGCCTCCTGGTGGTGTTCTCTGGTATGGTTTGAGTAGCCTGGGCACCTACTCCACTTGGGAAGGAGACACCTCAGATTAAATTTCGCGTGGAGAAAAGTGGAAAGATGATGGAGGCATGTCTGGATAACCCAGGGTTTTTGAGACATTTCCCTGGGTGGGTATTCACGGATGAGGGTTGACTTTGGGCGAAGAAAAAGCCGCCGCAACTTCGCAGTGGTACCTGCAAATGAAATCCGAGGCATGAGTGCTCTTCCTTTACGTTGAATCATCTATTCTGTACTTTTATTTGATATTGTGTCATTGCTAGATAGCTGCATACGCAATTAAGATCTGATGCCAAAAAAGGATAGCCATTCAGCTCAGTAGATTGGATTAGATTTATATTATAGTCCTAACTGAGTCAATGACTATAGAGGACTCCTAGAATTTATATATAAGATACTAGCTACATTATTTCCTTTCCAATTTTACAATTTTTAACTATTTTCTCATGGACAGTGAGGGTCAAGCCCCATGATATAGATAGGGAGAAATTCTTATTTCCCTTTTTAATGATATTATTATATATATTCTTTTTTAATCTTTTATATTCTGATTTTAATTCAGCTCAGTAATTACCCGTAGAAATCAATTTATTTTCCTACAAGACCTCCTACCTACTCGTCTTCCATTTATACCAGCACCGCGAGAAATACGATGTCGTCTTGCTGCATTAGAGCCAGCCATCTCTTGTGTCAAGCGGGATTGATGTTCAAGCAATTCAAAATTTTCTAGGGAAACAATTCCAGTTTATACACCACTGCGCCATCCCACCATTACCGTGTTGGTAATATCGCCTGAAGTCCCGCACACGAAGACTTGGCGCGCAAAATGCTCTTCAATGTAAAGACTCTGCCCTAACAAACTAAATCGCACTCCTCCCAAGATTGTATCCATCCTTAGTACCATCTTGCCTTGACTTGCTAATACTTTTCAAGTCCATGCCTGTGGCCTTTAGCCAAGACTTGGACGCCGCGATTTGCTTCCTCCTGCACATGCTCGTATTACCGTGGGCGCATATCTCGGGGCAAACTAGGGCCAGAGTTTGAGTCGACGAGCGGCATGAGCATTGAACTGAGGATAGGATGGGCTGAAGTTGTGGATTTATGAGGCTTTATTCGGAATACGTCTAGTTGACAGCGGAGCAGCGACGTTGGTGAAAGTTTCGAATCTTAGCCTCATGGGCCACCTTCGCTGTTGCCAAACCCGAGTGAGTTTGGTTCGGAGAAAATTTCACTGCCAGACCGATAGCGGACGGCGTCGCTAGGTATTCATTCCTCGTCGTTCGTTTTATCCTACATGGCCGCTAGCTTGATCAAGTCCCGCTTGCATCAGGGTCATGCTGGAGGTCTAGGCAACATGGGGGAGGATTTGAAGAGTAGCTTGTTATTTTTCTTGTCATAGATAAGAGGTCAAGCGTAAGTCAAACTCAAGGTTGGAAAAGGAGTGGACGAACGGAGATCGTCGGGGATTCGGGCGTATAGTACCCGTGTTAAAGGATAATCTAGAGAGGCAATAGACAAAGGAACGAGTATCTAAACCACGACAACTGCTGTCGTTCAACTCGTTGCTGAATAAGAAGTTAAGTGGATTATTGGGCTGAAGCAAGAATGGGTCTGCGTAAGTAATGCTCCATTCGGCCCAGTCTAATTCCGCTCGTGTCATGCTTTCGTGGAGGGCAAAAGGAACCAAGGGTGGAATGAGTGCAAACTACATTATTAAAATCTCAGATTAGAAACCAACTAATAGCCGCCCTTGCTAACTTTTTCCCCTTTCACATGGTCCATTCAACGCCATTTCCCACAGCTCGCCGGACTCCCAACCCCCATATCAACTCCGAGGGAAACCCGATTTATTCATTCGCAAGTCCATTCCGCAAAAACACACCACCGAGCCGTTCGATCGGCAAGGACCAATCCTCTCCATACGCCCCTCTCGCCAATTTTAATGATAGTTTCCCAGGTGCCACCGTCGCCTTTTTCTACAGATTGTATGTTATTCAGATTTCGCTCTTCTTTACGCATGAGCCGCATTACTTTGCCGCCCGGGGACTGAATTGCTAGCTTGGCCGGCTTGGTTGTCGGCTGAGAGCTAGTGCTGCTTGGGTTGGAAGTGGTAGCTGATGTGCTGCTCATCGAAATAGCAGAGCAGGGACGCATAATTGGAATAGGAGACGAGCCGCCGGGGCTAGTAGGCGCTGCATCAAGGGAAGAGGGATGTTGACGGATGGCAAAGACAAACGTGTTATTTATCGCGAGACGCTGACACTGAGGTTGAGCGACATAAAGATCGTGCCTTTGCGCATGAGGTGTTGGGTGACGCGTGAGAAACTCATAGGGTGGATTATTTCCCGTGTGGATAATTGGCAATGCAAAAGCTAATGGGTACGGAATGTCTTTGATAGAATGCATTAATCCACGCTTCCCAGCGTAAATCTTTAGAATACCACTCCCCTCATCTGCAGGAAGAAGTGCCTTGACGGTATATCGTTTTTGACCATGGATCCATTCGGCTTGAGATAGCGCACGCTTCTTTACGATCTCACCACTTTCAAAAAAGTCACCATCAGCATCCCGCTCGAATGCCTTTGCTTCTACTTCAGCTACACACTCAACATCTGCGGGAACTCTAAACTTGATATGAACGAGCTCAAGGTCTTCAATGCGAACTAGACTTGTGTCATAGTCGACCATTTCAATCTCGTTCTTGAAGAAGGGTGGACAAGCACATGGCAGAGCAAGTAGGACTTCGGGTGGGATAGGTGGACAAATATGCTGTTGTTGGTGATGTTCCGGTACATGTGTCCAGCAAATTTTGGTTGGACAGGTTAAAAACCACCATGTCTCCGAAATCTGGCTACTGGAACTTGAGAAAAGACCACGATTGGGGTGAGAGGGTGCAGCGAGGGAGCAATCCATGATTCGCCACTCATTGTCGATGAGAACGGTATTCCACCAGTGGTTTGGGTGAGGTGTATAATTCAGTTCAGGAACTTCTCCTGGTATTTTCAAATATCCACGTACTACTTCAGCACATATGCCAACAGCTGCGCACATTTCAGCGACCAGATTAGCAACTTCTTGTGTACAGCCCTTTTTGCTTTGTATGACTCGTCTGGAATCGAACTCGCTGTTGAAGTCTCCTTCCCACATTATTTTCTCGCTAACCCAAGTAAAAATAGCTCTCAGTCGCTGCACGTCACTCTTGTAGGGCCTACAAACAAATCCGGTTGCCAAGCTAATCGAGTTCGTCATCGGTGGAAGACTATTAATGAATCGTGTATTTTTGTCCACGAGTGAAAAGTTTACTGCGTGGAAATTTGTCGGTTCCGCAATTGGCAGCCCGTCTGCCCCTTCATTCCCATCACATTGTTCATTAAGTTCGTCAACGGGATTAATAGCTAGAAAGTCCATCATTTGACATTTTTCTCTCCTCTCAATCCGTTCAATTTTGCTAAGAGAGTTGGAGCGGTTAACATCGCGTCTTACCTGTACCCAATCGATGCCGGAGTTTGCATCTGAGATTTTTGCATCCTCACTTTTGACTTTTCTGTATCCACCGGCGTGAGTTATTGAGCCATCCAGAACTTTTGGCATACTAGCCGATTTGGATGAATCACTGGTAACAAAGCTACTTTTAGCATTAGCCGCCCCGGTTTTGGCTGTCTCGATGATTTTTTTGAAGAATCCATTTTTTTTAGGCTTTGGTGCGACGAGACCGCCCAGGGTATCGATTCCTATCAGAGGCTGCTCGTGCAAAGCTACCTGAGATTGCAATTTACTGGGCTCAGATGCGTGACTGCTATGATAGGAGAAACTAGTTACTGGTGTCTCGGATCGAATATCTTTGAATTCAGCCTGACCGTTTTTGCCATTAAACAACTGGTCCTTTCTAGTTCCAAACGAGCTATGAGACCGTCCATTAGACGCAGCTATTCTTTTGCGCTCTAAACTTCCTGCACTAGTATTAGATAAGCCAGTTGCAGAGGGGCCACTCATTAGACTACGTTCAGTGCTGGCTGTCGTGTTTGTCGTCGTGCTTCCGGTACCTGAAGAGTTGGTGTAATTCGTCTTATTAGTGAAGGTTCGCCCAAGCATAGATTTACCGACTTCGTAGGCAGACCTTCGATGTCGAAGTTTGGGCTTCTCGTACGAGTCCTCTTCGATAAAAGATTTCGGCCTATCGTATGAGCTCCACTTCGGGGGGACTGGGGGACCTTGTTCGTCCTTCGTAGCGCGGGAGGCACTGTGTTGCACTTTACCAAGTCTACTTTCCATTCGTTGTACATAGTTACTCAACAACGGTGGCTGTTGCGCCGTCTGTAGTGAGCTCTCGCTCGCGTAATGTAAAAGTTCGCCTCTATTCTGGTGTGATAGTGGTTCTCCACTACACCTACTCGAACTTGTTGCTCGTAACGCAGAAGCTGATCTCTCCATCAAAGCTTTCGAATACGTTCGCCCAAATGACTCAGGTGACCAGGGGTTTGATATCGGTTCAGGGGTATAATCTTCGCGGGTGAGGCCCATATCTGCTAGTGAAGATATCACATCATCCATGGCTGATCGAAGGGGCGAAGGTGTTAGCCCGGCAGCTCGGGAAGATGCTGAGGAAGATGATGGTTCTCGGGGGCTTTGTCGAGTTGTTGGGTAATCAGTACTGTCTTCAGCCATGTGAGATGCGAAAACTATTCGATGAGGGGGAGGGACAGGAGGTGGTGTTGATGATTCAGCCATATAATGAGGTTCGGGAGAAGGAGAGTGATTGGTATAGGTCTCATTTAGAGGCGGGGATACTGGAGAAGTTGGTCTGGAATATCCTTCGTTTTGTTCTCTGTACGTTGGAAGGTTTGAACAAGGGAAATACTCAGCACTTGGCAGTGCGGAGGAAGTAGCTCGGTAGCTATAGTTGCTGTATAGAGTTGGATCAGGAGAGGGTAGATGAGGGACGCAAAGGTTGTTATCGTAATAATTTTGAGCTGAAAGAGCATAATTCGGGTTGGACCTGTGTTCAAAATGTGTTGGCGGGACTGGAGACACAGCCCTTGATTCGTTATGGCGAGCCTGCGACACGGACGTAGACTTTTGGTCATATCGAGTGGTAGTTGAAGTATTTCGAGATGTAGCAGCGCTATCCTGCTTCTGCATTTCGGCTCGTTTCAACACTGTCGGATTAGGAGCAGAGTACGATTGATATGGTTTCCGAGATGGCTTTACCTTGTTGATCTGAGGTGGTTGTGGATTAAAAGGATTAGTGCTGGGAGATCGATGTGGTAATGGACTCGATGAGCGCACAGCTGGTCGAAAGTTCATGTCGAGTATTTCAACAAAATTCGAGGGAAATAATCCTTTCACTCGTTTATCTCTCCATAGCCTCCCCATCCACCATGAGCCATCTCCAGCATTGAGACATTCTATTAAATCTCCTTCCATGAATCCTAGATCGTATTTTGACTCGCCTCCATAACTAAACTTCGCTCTTACCCAGCACGGGAAACGAGGCGGTAAATCTGGGGGCCTCTGCATTTCGACTGGGCTGTATCTCGAGATCCGCCTTGAGGGTTCGCGAATAATTGAATAAAACCATGCGTGTAATTGAGTGAGATCTCACAATGCTTGATGGGCCTTCAAGGACAGGGAACTTTAAATTTCGAACAACGCGATCTTTGTTAGTTGTCTCACTGCGCTACTGGTGGCAGAGCCGGGACACAACAAAGTAATCCCTGTTCATATCGCTCTGCAACCAATGAATTATCTTTCCGATCCTGGCAAGGTATCCCATAGCAACGGACGACCGCAATACCCTTGTCAATTTATTCACGTCAATATACAAACATGGAATTTCCTCAAGTATCACTCTATTCACATGTCAAGCACCTGTTTGAATTTACCTGAACAGAATATCTAGAAAATTTTCATCGAAGCGCAGTTGAGAAAATCATATTTAAGGTTGGACTTTATAAATTACACCATACTACGGAGTTTCCGCATCTGTCATACCAGACTGGATTCACCGCAATCAAATACCTTCTGACTATGTCTGAAGAGGATGGCATGGGAATGGCCTCCAATTATAGCGTGCTGCAAGAACTAGGCTCTGGGTCTTTTGGAACAGTAAATGCTCAGGATCTTCATAACGAACGTAACCGCTTACTAAACCCCAGGTATACAAAGCGATTGAGAGATCAACTGGAGAAGTTGTGGCCGTCAAACACGTACGTTATAGCCCATTAAACTGGCCTTCATCCCTCAATAACCAGAAACAAAAGTACTTCAAACCTAATAAAATTAGATTGATTTAGAATCCAGCGAAGATGATATAGCAGAAATACAACAAGAGATATCTGTGTTGAGTACGTGTGCAAGTCCATATGTTACTCAGTACAAAACTAGTTTTCTCCGTGGCCACAAACTCTGGATTGTCATGGAATATCTTGGAGGTGGATCTTGCTTAGATTTGGTATGCCGAAAACTCGAATTATTTTATTCAGGACACAGGCTAATTGATAGCTCAAACCTGGTCCATTCAATGAAGGTCACATAGCAATCATCTGTCGAGAACTTTTATACGGTCTTGATTATCTACACCAAGAGGGGAAAATCCATCGAGACATCAAGGCCGCCAACGTGTTACTCTCCTCAAGTGGAAAAGTCAAACTTGCCGATTTTGGTGTTGCCGCACAACTCACAAATATCAAGTCGCAAAGGAATACATTTGTCGGTACACCTTTTTGGATGGCACCTGAAGTTATACAACAAGCCGGATATGATTTTAAGGCAGACATTTGGTCTTTGGGGATAACAGCTATTGAGTTAATACATGGAGAGCCTCCTCATGCCTCTACGCATCCTATGAAAGTTTTATTTATTATTCCAAAGTCTCCATCTCCACTGTTGGAAGGTCCAAACTACAGCAAGGAATTTAAGGATTTTATAGCGCAATGCCTAGTCAAGGAATGCGACAAGAGACCATCAGCCAAGGAACTCCTCAAGCACAAGTTTATAAGACACGCTGGTAAGGTTGAAGCATTACAGGAATTGATGGAGAGAAAGCAAAGCTGGGACGGTAATCGCAGTCAGAAAACTCATCCAAGGTATTACGAAGAGACACTGTAAGTCAACGCATCAAACCTCCTAGGTTTTCAATCTAACAGGATCTAGAAATAACATGAGGTCAACTGCTACTTCGAGCGAATGGCAATTTGAAACAATGAAGCCCACAACGGTGACATCAAGTCGTCAGAGCACTCTATACTCTCGCAAAATACCTACGCACTATTCCGATAGTTATGAATCAACATCAAGGCCCGAAGAAGCTCTAAAGCGACTAACTCTCAAGGACACACCGCTCGATTTCTCCCCTCAAAACACAATGATCAAAAGTACGGTACGAAAACAGCCCTCTCTAGCCCAGCCATCCAAAATACCAAAAGACTTTCAACAACAGCCTCAGTCGAAAAAACCGCTACAGCCTGATCTAAGCTTTGGTAATACCGGCTCAACTGTCAGGTTGTTTTGCCGAGTGTCTGACAATTTCACTGCTCCTCCCTCAAAGCTGGATGATGCTCCGCAAGCACAAAACGAAAACAGACCATTGACGACAGAACCAGTTTCGAAAGAAGGCATTGTAGGAAAGCAATTCTTCCATCAAATTGTTGACCCCACCTTCCAAGAAATGCTATCCCAGACTAGTAGTCAAGATAAAAGACAATTGATATCACGCCTGGCAAACGCGTGGAGTGACTTCAACGCCAGAGATCCTGAAGGGGAGTCCTATTTAATGAAAGCTATATTAGAAAAATTACAGTTAGACCCGAAACTATCTCAGATTATGCTATCCCCACAAAAACAAACCAGAGACGCTAATATTTCTTCCCCATCAAAGTCACCCACCAAGCTTGTAATGTCTCCGAATAACCCACACCTCAAGCCTAACCGACGTCGACAGTCAGGCATTCAATTAGACTCCAACGTTAAAGAAAAATTATCAAACCTGCCTGGTCAAATTGTTCCAGGCATGGAACACACGAAACAGCTTGCCGATGTTTTATACAGTCGATGGGCTGATAGACTTCGTAGTCGTTGGCCAATCTCATAAGACGTTCTGTTTTAAAACATAATTCAATCGGTTAGTGCCGAATATTTATATTTAATCATCTAGTAGGTGGCGTAACGTCAGGAGTAGATTTTGTTTGATGTTGGTACTGAATTTGAGGCCATAGTCCTGCAGCCCTGAGAGCTAAAGCGACCAATTTAGCCTTGGCCAAGTATGGATGATGATGATAATGATGATAACGAAGATAAATTTTGAATCTGTACTAAGAAATAGTTTCAGTATTTTTGAACGTAACCTGCCAAATATCCAGTAACCACCGGTCTACAGGGCTGGGGCGCATACGACGATCTTTTCTCCTCCACAACACTAACAAAATTTCGTGATTACCAACTCAGCTTCATCATCATGTCTGTGATTTGATTGGTAATCCAATCTTAGCAACAGCCATAGCCACTTTCAGTATTTGCCATTGACACCAAACCCTGCGTCAGGAAAGTTTTAAGATACAGGTTCATTTTGGGTTGAAAACACCCTGTCCCATTCTATAAACAATTACAATGATTCGTGGTAATTTTAATTCCCAATCGCATGAATTGAGCTCCAAATAAATTTCGACCCCCATGAAGGATTCACGCTGGGGCTATCATAGACAGGGATCTCCTCTATCCCAAATGGCAACGGACTGCGCAAACTAAGACCTCCGTACCTGAAAACTTGCCATAATATACGTGCCCGAAAAGTTATGAAACTAATACTCTCGCGTCGAAATAACTGAGCTCACTGCTAAAAGTTTCCCAATGTAACCAGATCATCCATCATGATATTCTACATGTGTTGCCCTAGAAATCCTTTCACTACGATTTTGGAGTGAAACCGATAAACTTATAGTTGATTAGTCAAGTGATTCCACAGGTATTACCCATTGAGGTTGCATGTTCAAAATGAAAAGTAACCATTACTACGAGTTGATGGGAAACTAGTCTTAGCGCCTGTCAGTGGTGTCCCCTACTAAGCTCCAGCTTACTGTAGAGTCTGCGGAGCCGAGATTGAGTAACAAAGCCCTCACTTCGATGAGGATTCCAGATAGAAGTCTGTATCGTCTTCATCCCATAGCACATTCCCTATCACCATGTCCGTGAGGCTAACCACGATCAGATCAGATGGTTGGCTCGAAGTATCAGGTAGCTGGGAGTCTGACCTGTGACAGGCGAAGTTTGCGTAATTAAAGCAAAGGATAACTCAGTAAAAACAACTTAATTCCTATTTCTCCCGGAATTCTAGGACTATATACACCGATCATGATTGACTTGATCTCTTGATCTCTAAATATAGACATGCGCTAGGAATAGAATAACCTGCAGTTCTAAATATAGAATGCAAGCACTGACCGAAACAAACAACCCACGTACGTATGGACAGTCCCTATTTTTGACCCAAGACATTTCACTGTCCAACTTCTTCGGTGGTTATTCTTAGCCGTCGACACGAAGCCCTTCTCATCACCAACCCTTGATCATGGTAGAAAATCCATCCAATGAGTTACCGGAGTACGCCCAGAACCCGATACGGAGATGGTAGATTAGATCAGATCTACCTGCAATTTACATAGATGGATATTCACAACTCGTGGAGCTCCGACTTCTTGGCCTCGCCTGGCTGGGGCGACTGATTTTTTGAGTTATCCCTACGCGTGCAGTTCTCAGCACTACATATTATATTTCTTTGGGTAGCAGGTTCCGCAGAAAAAGTAGCTGAATTATAATGGTAGTTACTGGGCTAAATGGATATCTACCAAGGGCAATATATCAATGATCTTTCAAGTAACATAAGAGGCAAGGAGCACTTTACAAGGTGTGGCCTGTATCAGGGAAGAGCCCAATTTGCTAGATTGTCACTAACTCAAGCAGTAAAATAAACAAAATACACTCTGAGATGGCCCCGAAGCCTAGGCAGCACAGTATCGCCAAGCTATGCCAAGGTTAACGGGAAACCTCTTAAATTGCCATGATAGCTTTTCTTAAATTGAATGCACAAGTTGCCGAATCGATGATTGCGATCAGAGACAGAGGTCCTTGACTTGTAGAATGAAGCAAATCGTTTTGGTAGTCACACCAATCAAGAGTTACTTTCCCCCTATAAACAAGTGATTAAATGCCATGATGTTTATCTAGTCCGTATATTTATTATTATTTACTCACAAAACCCGTGTGCATGTAAGTCGACTAGTGCCCTCACGTAAGTACAAGTAGCAAGTATATAGCACGAACAGGGCATGAGCCTCAATATCTATTGGCAAACATTGAACAAATCACCATTCATTTTTCATTTTAATTTTAAAGCTTTTCATATAGTTTTAGCAGTCCTTGATAGTCATGGACTCATTAGGGACTTCAATTTAATTCTATTTTATTTTATTCCATGTGGGACGAATAGATTCTATGTGATATGGTACTATCCTACATGTAGCCCTCTCAAAATTACAATCATTTCAATCTTTTTGCTCTGGTAAGATCAGTGAACATAGTACTAGTATACAAGGGCCTCAAATTCAACACACCCATCGTCCTTAGGTTGGCCAATGTTCAACGTACTTGCTCGCGTTTTAATGATGATGAGGGAAAGCTAGGCCTTGCTCTGCTTGGGCTCCGGGAGGGTTGGAACAGCAGCGATCTTATACTTATCGAGGACCAACTCGCGAATGTGAATAGTGACAGCCCTCTTATTAGTTTCGTCGGGCAGAGAGATTTAGCAGAAATCCGGCTGCTCATCCTTGCAGGTAAATAACTTCGGTGTTGGAATTTATCCATTGGTGTGTACTAAGTGTGTTGCACCTGTCCGTTGCTGAGTCATCGTCTTGATGACTCAGCTAATACAACGAACCCTAGGTTCATTATGTTATCATATCTTCTGTCTCTAACGTATGCCTCACTTTTGTATCTTCCGATTTACATTGAACTAACTTTACGTATACGTAAATTAAGGCCAATCGAAATTTGGTCTTTTTCTTCCATTTGTTACCTAAAACCGATGATAACGGACGACTGAGTGCTATTGACAGATTCTAGTAGTGTGTCTAGTATCTTAAAACTCCCCTGAGACGGATCTACTTGAAACACTTACATGGAAGCTGTCTAAGATTTAATGTATCAGACCATTAACTAATAGATCATTTCCATCTTATTTAATCACTGACCAAAATTCGTATATATATTGCCGAGAAATAACACATTTCACGAAAAACAGAGCAGCCTTGACATCAACTCGAAAATGCAAACCTTATTTTGGTCTCTCGTTTAACTAATTATCATCTTAAAACCTTCAGTGCAGCATATGGCGGGTGAGAGTGCTCGTGTGGATGAATCCAGCGGTCTCGACGCGTCGCGAATAGCAACGATGGCAAACAGTTCTGAAGGTGGTGAAGCATAGTCAGCTCCAGAGGACATAAATCTTGAAATCTTTGGCAGCCTGTTGAAAATGGTTAGACTCATTGTTGTGGGTGAAGCCGAGGGGGGTTTTCTATCAGACAGGAGGTCAATGAAGCCGTGAAGGCTTATGATATTCACAAGGCCTAGATAGAGATGTCTCGCAATACTTGTCCACTTGAAAAGAGGATAATGGCACTAGAGGAGGTCGTTAAGAGTCTCGCGGATCTTTCTCAAAAAGCGGCCCAAGGAAAGTACTAAGGAAGCCATCACTAAGAACATGCGCGTCTATCGTGGCACCTTAAGTGGCGAAAATTGCCATTCATAATGAAAACTAGAGATCAAAAACCTTATGGATAGAAGAGCTGCATTCAGAGGCAAAGGAATATGTCAGGAGTGCTTACGCTATCCGATAAATACTAGGCAACGACAGTCCGGTCTTCGTACAATCAGCGTTATAGAAAGAGGTGATGCTTAACGTGCGACAACCAAACGACTTCAAAATTTACGACAAGATTTCCTCTGGAAGTGAGCGGTGTCCCTCTGAGGACTAACTTAAAGATGATGGAGATGCAAATAACCACACTGTCATCAAGGAGATTGTGGCGGTGACCCGGGCCAAGATTCCCAGGCTAGTGATATATCAGATCAGATAGAGATATTACAAACAGGAACATTAATGGTCCAGGAAGTACAGCCATAGTAGAAAATAAATTGTGGTCAGCCTCCCGCCGGAATCAATGCAAGCGCGAGTAGTTTGACACTTCCTCGTGATTATTGTTACGACACGCTAATAATAACTCAAGGCTTAGTAGGTAATAAAGCAACAAAGCAAAGCTTAGTCTACAAATTTCTTATATAAAGTGTGAGGAAATTGGCGAATATTAATAAACAAATCATCTGTGCTTCTACAACGCTAGACCGCCGTGGGTATCCGATATCAATTCCATACCTTTATACTTTGTCTTGAGCCATTTAACATTTAATGCCATAAAATATACTACGCAGGCGTAATCACAATGGGCCCGGCCAAGGCAGTGCTTCAACTTTAGCCCATGGGTAAACACGTAGACTATGTGTGGGAAGACAGTCTGGAGCTATGGATACGCTAGTGCTCAGCAAACTCAGGAATGCCCGAAGAAAAGCGTTTCTTGTGAAGACTGTAGCAAGGAACACCGTTAATGACAGAAAGCAGCGTACTGAACCATTCAGGTTTGTAACAAGAGTGTGAAGAGGCTTGTATGGGGCTTCTAATCCGAACAGCAAATACACGGATAAAAAACCGAGAGTGGCAATATCTCGAGCATTTGCAATAACTGATAGACCCAGGCGGGATCTGGGACTTCCTCCAAAGGAATACGTATCCCTAGCAATAAAATCCACTATTTTCTAAAGGGATCCTAAGAATACAAGACCATAAACTGACGAACCAATGTTACTCCAAGCGCTCAATAAAATTTCCTATCTTCTGTTCTCAAACTATCCAATGTGCCCTCGAGAACGGGATAGGGCGCAACTGAATGGAGTAGAATGGAACAGAAATCTTCGGACTTAGCTCCTATCTATTCCGGTGAAGCCCCCAGTTCATAATAACGCTTTACTCAACAAACCTACACCAAC